GTCGCTGCAAACCACGGACACTGCCCCATCAGCTGCTCCCCAGGAAGAAATTCCTGGGGAAGAGAGGCACAGCACGCCTCTCACTTCAACAACAGCAGCCCAGAGCAGGCCAGCAAGTCCTCCAGCAGCCCCTGCTCTGGAAGATGAGGGACACAGGACGCCTCCCCTGACACGTGGGGCTCAACAGTCGAAGCCATCAGCCTGTGCAAGCCCCAGTGAGCACAGCGCTGCCATGATGGTGGAGAGCCAGGGACATGCCCGACCTGCCTGCAGTGTCTCTGATGAAGAGCTGGATGAAAGAGTTGACACCATCGTGGCTGCAGTCCTACTCCACTCTGTAGCCATCATCCAGGGAGCCCCAAGCAAGGCAGCAAGTGCTCCCTGGGTCACAGTGCCCAGGGTGCCTCCTCCCACACCAGAGCCTGCAGAATGTACATCCTCGGCCTCTGCCTTGGCCGGAGGCCCTGTGGGGGAGGCCAATGAAGCCCCTCTCGCTGCAGCAGCAGCGCCACAAGAAGAAGGTGGAGAAGGGGCTTCTCCTTTGGCTGCAGAGCCTCTCCGGGAGCCCAGCACAGATCTCCGCCCAGCAGCAGCTGACGAAGCAGGAGCAGCAGCCGGTCCCTTGGTTCCTGGGCACCAGGTAAGCACAGCACGTGCCGTGGGCACCAGGCATCCAGTGAAGCCCCAGGCAGAAGCAGTGCTTTGGGTGTGCGTGCCGGGAGCTGCCTGCTGCTCTGCATTTCCACATGGCCCAGGCACAAGGGCTGACATCCCTTTCCTCAGCTGCCCGTGCTGTTCCTTCTCCCCATGCAGGTGGCCATCGAGCAGGGAGGCCAAGCGCAGTCCTCCTCCTGCACCAAAGATACGCCAGCCGATGAGCCAGCAACATCCCAGACACAAGCACCGTCCCAGGATCTGTTGGCCGGGCCTGTTCAGCGCAGCGAGCAGCAGCAAGCACAAGGTTGGCAGCACCACGCGCAGGGGGGCTGGCTGGTCCTGGGCCACCCCTTCCCGGGGAAAGGCCTTGGAGGGGGGGACAGGCTCGCCCAGCACCCGCTCAGGCCCTAACCTACACCTCTGTGTCCCCCACAGGCATCCATGACCTCGCACAAGCCCCGGCATGCAAGCCACTGCCCTCCCGCATCAGGAGGGCACTTCGCGCGCTGCGCAGGGCTTTCCGCTGCAGCTGCATCGCAGGACAGTGAGAGTAGCCGCGCCCGGCTGTGCCAGTACCAGGAGGATGCTCGGAGCTGGCAGCTGGCCCTCAGGAAGCTTTGCAGCGCCCACGGAAGCATCACTGCGAGGCACAGGACAGCGCCCCAGGAATTCAGATGCCCCACCACATCCTGCCCCCAGCCTCAGCTCAGCTGCGGCTGCTTTCTGCTCTGAATAAAAGCTCAGGCAGACTTTTGCCCCCAGTGCTCCTCTCTGTGCCGTTGATCTCAGGGGAAAGAGTGGTGCAGGCCATGCCAGCCTGGCACCCGGGCCCAGTACAGAAGTACAGAATCATAGAATCTACCACTGAACCGTGTCCCTCGGCACCAGATCTGCACGGCTTACGAATGCCTCCAGGGATGGTGACTCAACTACTTCCCTGGGCAGCCTGTTCCAATGCTTCACAACCCTTTCGTTGAAGACTTTTTGCCTAAACCTAAACCTAAATCCACCTAAACCTCCCGCGGCCCCACTTTTTCCTCTTCTCCTACCGCCTGTTGCTTGGGAGATGGGACTGACCCCCACCGCACTACAACCTTCTCTGAGGTCCTTGTACACAGTGATAAGGTCTCCCCCAAGCCTCCTTTCCTCTAGGCTACATAACCCCAGCTCCCTCAGCACTCCTCACACGACTTGCTCCCTGGGCCCTTCGGCTGCTCCTTTCCCCTTCCTTGGACATGCTCCAGGAGCTCCATGTCCTTCCTGCAGTGAGGGCCCCAAAACTGAACAGGGTATTCATGGCGCGACCTCACCAGAGCTGAGTACAGGGGGAGAATCAGGTTCACAAACCACGTGATGCTTACTACTATACCATATATGTACAATTTTATTTGACCAACCTTTATTTTCCCCTCTTCCTTTTTTTTTTTTTTAATTATTTTTTTCTTCATCTCTCGTGACTAGAAGGCCCGTGATTTATTTATTTATTTATTTGTTTATTTATTCGTTACTGATTTTTGCCCTGTTTCTCCTGCTTTTCTTAGCTATCCTCCTCATTTTGCGACTGTGGGACATTCCCCTTACCTGCTTAAAATACTTCACATGGTATGCTACTGCCATGCCCGCACAATCCCTTTTGAAAATGCAAGGTTAGTGGAATTTTCCACTGCAAGAACCTGACGTGCTGTCTGCAGCCTGCAAGCTCTCCTGACTTGCTGTCAGCAGCCTGCAAGCACACAAGGGGAGGAAGTGCTGCAACAGCCGGTGCTCACCAAGCAGCTGCCCAGCAAGGAAAAGACAGTCAGTAGGACATGTGTCAGGACACTTTTCCTGCCGATGCGGCCAAATTCACCTGAGAAAGAAACAGGAAAAGTCTCTTTCTTTCTTATGTGGGACTCCAGGAAGACAGGCAAAGTTCTCCGAGAACTGAAAAGTGGGCTTCTTTACCTGGAGGAGCTCAAAGCAAAAAACAAGAGCAGCCCCACTTTAATAAGGAAGGAGGCACCCAGCCCAGGTACTAAGACACGCTGAAAAGCAAGAAAGGAGGAGCAGTATTTCTGGCACTGGAAATGCAGCGCGGGGCTTCCCCAACAAAGAAGATGGGCCCTTGTGCTTTGGCCACTGCTCATGGGAAGGTGCCAGATGGCATCACTGCGGAGAGCCCTGGAGATGGCCTCAGTGTCTGGGAGCTTCCCAGCTCCCTCCTTTTTGCCCCCTGCAGAAGAGCTGGGCTAGGAAGAGCACAGCCAACACCCTCAGCTCAGGAAAAACCCTCCACGGGGTTCCCAACTAATAGGGAAAGCCTTGAGAACCGGCTCTGGCTACATGCTGGCTTGCCCACTCGGGCCACAGGCAACGCACAAGCGCCAGGCAGTACGCATCCCGTCCTTCTGCTGGAGCTGGGCTCTTCTGTTGTGCATATTGCCAGAGCAGCAAGGGGCCCCTGGCACACCTGCACTTTGCAGGCTACCGCTGGGGCGTTTCTTCTGCTTGAGGAGGCGGGCTGTGGGGTGGCAGCTGCAGGAGGGAGCAGGCTACGAGGGCAGGACGAGGCTGCAAAGCCCACCTTGTTCAGTGCGAACTGCCTGTGCACGTGGTGGGGTATTGCATCCCCAACGTGCCCAGCCCCTGGAAAGCAAATGCCCCAAATCCCCTTTCAGCCGTGCCCTGGGGACGGCAACAAGGCCGCCAATGCCATGCTGCAGGCTGGCACGGCCTGCAGATGCCAGGCTGCCAAGCCCAACGTGCGGCCGCCACGCAGGCGCCAGCTGCCAGAGGCTGCAGGAAGGTTCCAGAAGCAGCGGCAGCAGCCCGCGCAGGGGCAGCCGCGAGTGCAGGAGCCGCTCCTGGGCTCTGGGCTCAGCGGCAGACGCCTGCCCCTGCAGGGGACGAGGCCCACCCAGAGCCTGCCCAGCGGCATGGGCCTTGCCCAGACATCCTGGGGGGAAGCCCTGGCCGCAACAAGTGAGCGGGGGGGATGCAGAAGCCCCTCACAAATGCTGACGAAAAACAGGGCCCTCAAAGTGAGAGGCCATGTCACTTACCATGACAGCCCCGGAATGCGGAGAAAAGCGGCACTGCTCGCTCCAGATAGCACAAAGTTTCCTTCAGCACAAAGAAGAAGAAAGGCCTCTTGGCTCTAGATGCCGCCCGACACCACTGGCAGCCGTGCTGGGGACAGCCCAAGGCCTCAGCCAGCTTGTGGCGCGGGGGGCAGGCAGAACTGCCAAATGGCCGCCAGGGCTGTCAGAGGGCGGGGCTGGAGCCGCCCTGTCAGGGAGCAGCTTTTCTCTCTCTCTCCCTGCACTCAGGGAGCACTTTCCTGTAGATCCCCTTTCCTGTAGGGCCACAGCTGAGCCGAGCATGCCAGCACTGAGAAGGAAACTCTCTCCTTTCAGTCCCATACAATCCTCGAGAGTGCCCCAGGGGGTGTGCAAGGTGATCCATTTGGGTGTGGGAAGGAAATGCTAGAACTGCCATTTGTTTATTCATGAAATCTTGAAAGGGAATAAGGAAGAAGGAATGCTTCACGAGTGTTTAATATAGAGCTTGTGCCTGGCACCCTCCCTCAGTGTCTCCATGTGTCAGATGGCCACGTCGCACGTGGTCTGTGAGGGACGAGCGTGTGCCCCACAACACGGAGGTTTTCTCCGTGGCACCCTCACTCGGTCACAAGCTTTCAGCATTATGTGATGTAGCAGATTACATGGGCCGGGTTCACTAGACTTCAGGATGATGTGCTTAAAGGGGATTTGAGGAAATCAGTTCAAAGGATGCCTATAGATTGGGATCTCTAAGGCCAAAGGCAGCAATTCAGCAAGAGGTATTCCACCCAAGTGGAATTGACAGCAATGTCGTGGTTTAACCCGGCCGGCAGCTAAACACCACGCAGCCGTTTGCTCACCCTCCCCCCTCCCTCTCTGGGACGGGGGAGAGAAATGGAGAGTGAAGCCCGTGAGTTGAGATAAAGACAGTTTAATAAGACAGGAAAATAATAATAACAAAATAATAATAACAATAATAATAATAATAATGATACAATGGTGATAATACGAAAGTAATAGTATGTACAAACAAGTGATGCACAATGCAATTGCTCACCACCCGCTGACCGATGCCCAGCCTAACCCCGAGCAGTCCGGCCCCCTCCCCCCAGCTAGCCACCCCTATATATTGTTTAGCATGAGGTCAGATGGTATGGAATACCCCTTTGGCTAGTTTGGGTCACCTGTCCTGGGTCTGTCCCCTCCCAGCTCTTACTGCACCCCCAGCCTGCCCGTTGGCAGGACAGAGCAAAAGGCTGAGATGTCCTTGGCTTAGTATAAGCACTGCTCTGCAACAATTAAAGCATCGGGGTGTTATCAGCACTCTTCTCATCCTAAGCCAAAACACAGCATTCCACCAGCTACTAGGAAGAAAATTAATTCTGTGCTAACTGAAACCAGGACAGAGAAAGAGAGCTCTTCACTTTCTTGTATGAGTGATGTGACCAAAAAAATCAACTTGTCCTCCAGTTTTGTGCTGTGCAGATTTAAAGTCCCTGGGATAGGCTTTGGCCCTGCTGGCTTTCCTTCCTTTCTCCCAAGTTTCAAACTCTCTCTCTCTCTCTGTTTTTTGGCAATGTGCAGACCCGAGAGTTCATGGAAAAGCCGTTTCCCAAAAAGAGGCTCTTAACTTCAAAGCTCCCTTGGCAGCAGTACCAGCAGGGAAGGAAGACTTGTTGCTAATTCTGGGCTGAGTGAGGAGTGAGGGCAGGTGCTTGATGCCTTTTTTTTTTTTTTTTCCTGGGACCAAAGGGAAGGTTGCAGTGAGCCGTTACCTTGGAAGTTCCACCCTGGAAGGATCAAGAGCTCCCAGCTCTTCCCAGCTCTCCAGGCACAGGCAGGATCTGATGCTGGATCCTAAGGGCACCTGTCTTTCAGCAAGGGAGAATCAGCAGCCTCAGCTAGGAGGCCTTTGTGGCTGTCTTGGGAGGCCACGAGTGGTGCTACTTGAACTGCTTAACAGTCCCACAAAAATTGTGAGGTGGATTATTGAGGGAACAGAGCATCTCTCCTATGAAGAGAGGCTGGGAGAGATGGGACTGTTTAGCCTGGAGAAGAGAAAGCTCAGGGGGGATCAGTGGATAACTGCATGCCTGCGGGCAGGGTGCAAAGGCAATGGAGCCAGGCTCATTTCAGTGGAGCCAAATGACAGGACAGGAGGCGATGGGCACAGAAGCAAACACAGTGGCTTCCACCTGAACCTAACCTCAGGATCCATTTCTGTAGTGTGTGGGTGAGCGAGTCCTCTCACGGGTTCTCCAGTGAGGCTGTAGAGTCTCCCTCCTCAAGGGGAGACACTTGAAAGCCATCTCCACAGGACATGCTCCTTGGACACTGGTGCTGGGTAGCAATGTTTGAGCAGGGGGTTGGCCAAGCTGACCTCTTCAGGTACCTTCCAACCTCAACCATTCTGTGTTTCTGTGAAATCAGAACACTACAAAGCCCATGCTGGTCCTTCCAGCAGGAAGCAACAGACTTTATTGGGCTCGCAGCTGCTCCCAGCTGCGAGGGGTCCTCACTGGTTTCCCTGATGCTTGTGTCATCTTTGGCATTGGAAGCACAGGGATTTTCTCACCAACGCTAGGGAGAGAAAAAGAAAGGGTTCAAGTTTCTGTTCCAGTGAGGGCAGCGGAGTGACACTCCCTGCTCCCTTCAGCCCCAGTCCTGTGCAGAGTGCATATGCAGGAGTCCTAAGGCTCTGTGTGGCCTTGCGGGGGCCCCTCGAGTCCCAGCCAGTGACAGGGAATCTATGCAGCGCCAGGCCGAGGCGCTGTGTGAGGCCGGGCTGGAGACCTTTGGCCAAGCAGCTATGGAAGGCCAGGGCAAGGGTTCTCGTGGGCCTCATTGCCCAAGGAAGGGGCTGTTGCTAGTGGAATGAAGGCTGTTGCAGGAGAGGTTTACCAAATCAGAAGATCCTCTGCAGAATTTCCAGGGATGTCGACAGCTCTGCTCTTGGTCTTGTCTTTCTGCAGGACCTCTTTTCTCTTCACCAGCTGTTTCCTCACCCGCACACTCCGCACTGAAAGGGAGCTGCAGCAACAGAGAAAATAAACTCTCAGGTGGGCTCTGAAGGTCCCCACCTCTGGCTGCCCAAAAGCAGGGAGCACAGCCTCCTTCCATTGTGGGTGCGTCACTGTCAGCTGCAGGGGAGCTTTAGGACTTTGGGTCGGCAGGGGGACAGCTGGAGGCAGGGCCTCTCCACGGTCATTCCCTCCGTGAAGCAGCCAGGGGATGGAGAGCCAAAGCCCAGAGCTGAGCAACCCATATGCTGGATCCCTCGGGCAGCCTGCTGCAGCTCAGCTTTTCCTGGCCTTTTTGGGTGCTGGCCCACACTTACTTGGCACTCAGTTTGCTCAGAGGAGCTGCCTCAGCCTTCTTCTCCGGCGGGTGAGGGACGAGGACATGCTGCTGTTTCATGTCCACTGGCACCATCTGCAGAGACTTTTTCAGTTCCACAAGTGCCATGGAGGATGCGCTCTCTGTCTGAAGCCTCTGCATTTCCATCTGCGTCTTCTGCTACAGGAGAAGAAGAAAGAAGGAACGTTTTTAGATGGGGGTGCTAACGTGGGAGCTGTCCCATGGCAGTGGGGCAGTCGTCCCCTCAGGGTTTCCCCAGGCTCAGGGCAGTTTCCCTGCAGCCTGCTTTCTCTCAGAAAGGCAGCATGAAAGGGTCAGCCTCTGAAACTAAGGGCAAGAACACTTTCACTGCAGTGGGCTTTGGAGGAGCCCTCGCCCTTCAAAATATAAAACAAGGCTCAGAAAGGGCAGATTTTTCTCTTGGAGAGAAGCTTCCTTGCAGAGCTAAGAGGGGAAGAGTGTTCACATGGCCCCCTGAGAGAAGAGAAAGGTTCCTTCTGGAGTGCTTGAAAGCACTTGGCATACCCAGATACTCTCTCTCCCGTTTGTTTTGCCACGAGCCTTGCACTGTGCCCACATGTTCTGTCTCTCCCATTCTTTCTTCAGCTGCTCCTCAACCAACAATGCCTGCAGAGTTTTCTCATCTTCTTGCCGGTACAGGCAGCATATTTCCTACAGGAGAGAAGGGCATGCAATGATCAGAGAAACATCAAATCTCCACAAAGGTAACCCGTGAAACAACCCGGCAATGGGCACACAGATCCAGTGGCTACCTGTCCTGCTCTCCGTTGACCTTCACAGGCAGGGGCTTGATTTTGGGGCCAGGCTGCAGCACAGTGCTTGCCCTTCCCCTCTTCTGCCATCTTTGAGTTGCTCTGCTGACTTGCTGTTGGCATTCTGCAAGCACACATGAGGAGGATTTGCTGCTAGAGATTTTGCTCAACAACCAGGTGCCCAGCGAGGAAACAGCAGTTGGTGGGACATGTGTTGGGACCTCTGTAAAGTTCACTAAGTCCCTGAGCCAAGGAAAGCCGCTCAATGACTCAAGGAGAAGAGCCCAGGGGCTGCCTCCTCCAGTTCCCCCCAAGCCTTACCTGGGTGAAGGCACTTTTTCCCCTGCAGCCTGGCCCAGATATGCCTCCCCTTTCATCTTGGAGAGTCTGGATAGAGAGAGACTCTTGGGTGTGAGCAGCTGGCTCTTAATACGAGGCATCCCTGTAAGGAGGAAACGAGAAGGCTCGTCAGTGCTGCTCCTTGGTGGCCACACAAAGAGGCAGGGAATGAGCCTCCCTGCTGGATCCGGTGCTACTTGTAAAAGGCAGAGCAAGCTGGGAGATGGGTTGGCCTAGAAGGGAGTCTCCTTGGCCACTGGCATTTCACGGGTGGGGATGGGAGTCATCTGCACAGGACATGCTCCTTGGACACTGGTGCTGGGTTGCCCAGTTTGAGCAGGGGTTTGGCCAAGCTGACGTCTTCAGGTAGCTCCCATCCTAAAACCATTCTGTGTTCTGTGAAATCGGCACACTACGAAGCCCGTGCTGGTCCCTCCAGCAGGAAGTAACAGTCTTTATTGGGCTTGCAACTGCTCAGGTGGGGATGGGAGTCCTGGGACTCCCTGCTGCCACTGTACCCCACATTCTACCTTTGGACACATCTCATCCAGAGTGGGGCTTTCAGTAGACAGGAGCTCCAGGAGGCCAGCGTGGAAGAGGCCTGAGCACTGTCGAATGCTATGGGAAGCTCTGGGCTGCCCTGCCATTCTGGTTCCTACGAAGGCCCAGCAGAGCTACTGCTGCAGGGAACTGGGGTCAGAGGAGGGGCCTCATCCTGTGCAAAGCGCAGCCTTCCAGCCTCGCCTCTGTACCCCTTGCCCTCAGGAGGACATTCAGAAGGGAAGGGCAGAGAGGTCTCCCAGGGGCTGTCACTCCCAAGAGCCCGCTCTCACATTACCTCTTCTGGTAGACTCTCCCTCCACACTTGCATCTCCCTTCTTCTCCAAAGCAGAACCCTTGGGTGCTTGGAGAGACCCTTCCCCTGCAGCTCTTCCCCGAGGTATGTAGAGCCCAATCCTGGAAGAAAGACCCAGGCAGTGTGACTCCAGGGCACCACATTCTAGGGCTGTAGGGTGCTGGTCCTGGTGCCAGCGTCTGAGAGGGGCTTGCTATGGGCTGGGCAGGGAATAGACATCCTCCCAGCCCTTGGTACACAAAGAGAATGCCCCCAAAACAAGCAAGAATCGGTGTGGAGTGGAGGAGGAACCAGTGCTTGGAGAAGTCTCCCTCCAGCTCCTCCCTGAGCACTGGGCAAGCCCTGGCACTGCTGACCTTCCAGAGAGGAGCTGAAAAGCTGCCAAAACTCTCAGCCGAGGGCTGCAGAAGCAATGCACCCACGTGGAAAAGATGATGACACCTCGAGAAGCTGGATGTGAGACCATGCTTTTTCTCTTCGATGTGGCCAAATCCGTTGTGCTTAACCTCTGCAGGAGAGACAGTCATGGGTGAGACCATGGCCAGGAAGGGATGCCCTTGCCAACGAAGGCATCGCGGCTGCTCAGGCAGAAAGCAGCCCGCAGGCAGAGCTTGCAGGGCTTAGTGTTCACCCCTCCTTTACGAGCAGCACAAGCTGCCCAGCAAGTGCCTGCACCCGGCAAATCACTGCCTGGCTTTGTGCAGGGGCCAGACTCCTGTGCCTCATCAGGAGACGCGTCTGATCCAGAAGGAGAAGTCCCTCCCAACGGCCTCTCGGGGCATTTCCCAGGAGCCCTGGGCTGTGCTGGTGCAGTGAGAAACTTACAGTGAGGCGGCATTTCAACAGCTGGCCGTTGCTATTCAGGTTGTGAACAAAGTCGGAGGAAAAGTGCATTTGGACTCTGCTCTTGCGGGAGACCAGACGGCCGATGTCCTTGAAGATGAAATCAACAGCCTGCTTCTTTGCAAGGGTGTAGGAGAGAAAGAGCAGGGTCTCCTGAATGCAGCGCTGCACGGTGTTGAATGCTACGGGAAGCAGGTTGGCGTGGTCTGCACCACTCTTTCTCCTGAGATCAACGACACAGAGAGGAGCACTGGGAGCAAAACTCTGCCTGAGCTTTTATTCCCAGCAGAAGGCAGCTGCAGATGAGCTGAGGCTGGGGGCAGGATGTGGAGGGGCATCTGAATTCCTGGGGCACTGTCCTGTTCCTTTCAGTGATGTCAGCGTACAGCTCCGAGCGCCCTCCTGGTGCTGGCAGCTGGGCGCTGCTACTCCCACTCTTCTGCGATGAAGCTGCAGCACAAAGCACTGCGCAGAGCCCGAAGCGCCTGTCTCCTGATGTGGGCGGGCCGTGGCTGGTGTGCCGGGGCTTGTGTGAGGTCATGGATGCCTGTGGGAGACAGAGAGGTGTAGGTTAGGGCCTGAGCGGGTGATGGGCAAGCCCCTGCCTTCCCCCTGCACCAGCACCCAAGGGGAGGGGTGGCCCAGGACCAGCCAGCCCCCCTGCGTTTTCCTAGCCCTTGCTCCTGCTCGCTGCTCTGAACAGGCCCATCCAAAAGTCCCTGGGACGGCTCTTGTTTCTGGCACGTTGCTGGCTTGTCTGCTGGTGTATCTTTGGTGCAGGAAGACTGCGCTTGGCCTCCCTGCTTGGTAAAAACGTCAAAAGAAATTTGAAATTTAACAGGCCGGCAACCAAAGGCCATGCGTTGTTTGTGAAGCATCAGATAGATTGTGAACCTGGATTACATTACTCACTCAGTGGGGAAACAGGGGAGGGTCCTGTCATCAAAAGGTATATAAACTGTGTTTTGGAACTAGTAGGCACGCTCTCCTGCTTGTGGGGCGCCCGCCATTGCAATCGCAAATAAATTACTACTTCATACTCTATTCGGTACCTTTCCAACTGCATCTTTTTCTCAGCTATTAGAGCCTGAAGTTGCTGCTCCTGAGCTTCTCTCTGCTTTGCTATAGACTTCAGCAAGTTTCGTGCACCAATGGCCTTCATCTTCTCGCTTTCCGCAGCCTTGGCCAGCTGGTCCACCAGCTCGATCAGGCCGCCCACCGTCTTCTGGAACTCCGCGATCCTGTCCACGAAGGCCTTGCACTCCTCGCGGAGCTGCGCCGTCTGCTGCGCCACCTCGGGCTGCAGGACACGCAGCTTGTTCAGCTCGTCGAAGTGCAGCCCCGCCGCGCCCAGCGCCGCCTGCGCCATGGCCCCGCCGGGCCCCCCCCGGCCCCTCCCGGCCCCCTCCCGGCCCCGGCTGCCACGGCCGCAGCACGCGGTGGCCACGGGGAGGAGGCGGCGGTGGCTCACCGGCTTGAGGCGCTCGCATAACCCTGACCTCGCGGCGTGGAGAGAGATCTGAGGTCACAGGTTCGAGACGCAGCATGGGGGTGCAACGTTCCTCCTTTTTAGAAGACTCTCTGCGTTCTAAACGACCTGAATCTCTATACCATTTTTTCAAGCATTCTGCCAGTTTTTGAGGATTTTGCCATTGTTCAGGGGTGAATTTCCAAAACACTGGGGGTGCCAATTGCTCTAGATGCCTGCCCATATCCACCCATACTCCCTGCCACCCACAACTATACTGCCTCCGGGCAGATCTCCGGATGAGCTTCCTAAGTAGTTGTTTAACTTTAAGCAGGATCTGAAGTGCATTCAGGAGGCAGAACAACAAGACTATGGTGGTCTGAGTATCCCAAGAATATTCAATATCTTGGAGAGCTATTGTGACAAGCTCAGGGGATAAGAGGGTGGTGAAGGAGGAAGGCAGAGTGATCCAGGAGGATACAGGGGTGGTGAAGGAGAAAGGGAGAGTAATCAAGTAAGAAAAAATATCTTCCCCTTTCCCCTCCACAGATTGACTCTCTAATGGAGAAAAACAATAGGTATAATTGCTAATAGTTCCCAAGATACTGTTTCCAAAGTACAGAGTCCACAATGTTACTGAGTATAAATACCAAGTTAGAGTCATGACCAGATATCTTATCGTCTCATAAGCCATTGCTATAACACTCAGTACCATAATGATCTGAAACCAGGGCCCGGAGAGGATAAACAACACTACAGAGAGCAAATATGGAAAATAATGTACTATAATACTCAATTTGGAAAACAGGCGCAGCAGAGTTGAGATTAAAACAATCAGCATCATGACAAGTGACTATTAAGCAGGTCTAATCCTTACACCAATTTTAGTTTAACACACTCTGGTCAGATCTGCCGTTATCGCAACCTTTCGAGCCCCACGTTGGGCGCCAAAAAGACTGTTGTGGTTTAACCCGGCCGGCAGCTAAACACCACGCAGCCGTTCGCTCACCCTCCCCCCTCCCTCTCTGGGACGGGGGAGAGAAAGTGAAGCCCGTGAGTTGAGATAAAGACAATTTAATAAGACAGGAAAATAATAATAACAAAAATAATAATAACAATAATAATAATAATGATACAATGGTGATAATATAAAAGTAATAATAGTATGTACAAACAAGTGATGCACAATGCAATTGCTCACCACTCGCTGACCGATGCCCAGCCTAACCCTGAGCAGTCCGGCCCCCTTCCCCCGGCTAGCCACCCCTATATATTGTTTAGCATGACGTCAGATGGTATGGAATACCCCTTTGGCTAGTTTGGGTCACCTGTCCTGGGTCTGTCCCCTCCCAGCTCTTACTGCACCCCCAGCCTGCCCATTGGCAGGACAGAGCAAAAGGCTGAGATGTCCTTGGCTTAGTATAAGCACTGCTCTGCAACAATTAAAGCATCGGGGTGTTATCAGCACTCTTCTCATCCTAAGCCAAAACACAGCATTCCACCAGCTACTAGGAAGAAAATTAATTCTAACTGAAACCAGGACATCTATATAAACTGTGTTTTGGAACTAGTAGGCACGCTCTCCTGCTTGTGGGGCGCCCGCCATTGCAATCGCAAATAAATTACTACTTCAGTGAGATCCTCGCCCGAGCCTAAGTTATTGGCTACGGAGTGTTTCTCACATAGGGCAGCTCATCCAGCAGCGTGGGCAGGGAGGCCTGAGTGGCACCATCAACAGCGTCTTGCTGCTCCTCCTCTGACATGCCCGCATTCTTGATGCCTGCCTTTCAGACAGTCGCGGTTGCCTCCAGGGCTCCGCTCACGCCGCCACTGCTCCGCTTTGGGGGGATTTGCTTCCAGGGCCTGAGAAAGCTGGGGATGCAATCTCCCACCACGTGCACAGGCACTTTGCAGCGAACAGGGAACACAGCCAATACCAGCAGCCCTGTTGGCCTGTTGTGGTTTGACTCAGGTGGGCAGCCGAGCTCCACCACAACCGCTCTCTCACTCCCCCTCTCCTCAAAGAGGCAGGGGGAGAAAATACAACACAGAGAACTCGAGGTTTGAGATGAGAAAGGTTTAATTAAAGGGAAAGGGAATGGGGAGGAAAAAAAGAAACAAGAGAAACAATAAGTCAGTGCGGAAGCACAGAGAGAGGGAAAAAAAATATTCTCTACTTCCCATCAACGAGCGATGTTCGGCCACGTCCTGGGAAGCAGGGCCTCAAAACGCATAGTGGTTGTTCAGGAGGAACAGCCCCCTCCCCCAGGAGAGCCCCCCTTTTTATTGCTGAGTGTGACATCAGGTGTTATGGAATATCCCTTTGGTTGGTTTAGGTCAGCTGCCCTGGCAATGTCCCCTCCCCATCGCTTGCCCACCCCCAGCCTGCTGGCTCTTGGGGGCTTGGAAGGAGTCCTGATGCCGTGCCAGCACTACGCAGCAACAGACACAACACTTGAGCGATATCAGTGCTGCTCCAGCTACGAGTGCAGAGCACAGCACTGTGTGGGCTGCTGCAGGGAAAAGCTGACTCCAGCTCAGACAGACCCAACACAAGTACTGTTTCTGAGAAGCTTCTTAGCTCCTCTCGTAGTGCCTGGACTGCGTGCAGAGTGTTATTTTCTAGTTCTCCAGTGAGTGAAATTCCCTGGTTCGGTTTCCTAGAGGATTATCTGGAGTCCTCGTAATTCTGCGTGCGGTCTCAGGGGGGCTTTGGCGTTGTGGGTCTTCAGTAATAGGTACATGTGGAATTATTGCCCCCAGGGTGCAAGCTGCCTTCCAGCCAAGGGGCAGCACCTTCCTGCATTTATTGCCGCAGAGCCAGTACTACCCCTTGCCATTCGGGACAGGCCATCCCCTTACAGGATTCTCATGTTGTATCTGCTGTACAACAACTTCTACTGTTACTGTTACAAGTGTTACTCTAGAGTGAGGAGTCACTCCCTTCACAGCAATACTTTGTCTCAAGCAGATCCAATACTTTGTCTCAAGCACATACACTTACACATATACTTCCTTGCTGGTGCAGCTCCTGCTGCCTCGGCTGCAATGTTAGGGTTAGAGGGAGCATAACTTGATTCCTCCTGCGGAAAAGGAGTCTTATTGTTTACCTGTAAACTTGAAGCGGGAATTTTCATCGGACCTGTGTTGTGGCCAAAGGAGCAAAGTTCCTTTTAATGGCTTTTCAGGCCAGACAATTGGACAATATCTAACCTGTGCTTTTTTATCCTTTTCCCTAGTTTTGGGGTTGTTTTTCCAATTCCCTTCCTTTCTCCCCAAAGGACTAGCTTTACGCACAATTCCGAGGATTGTGCTTCTGAAGATCTCCAAGGATGGAGACGCCACAGCCTCTCTGGGCAACCTGTTCCAGCAAAGACGCCCTTGTGTTACCAACACTGTTTCAAAGCATAGGACCTGCTTCAGCAGCCAGAGAAGCTGCGGGCTAAACAGCAGCATGGCACAGCTGTGGCTCTGCTGCTGAAAGCTTCTCCACAGCTTGCTCTTAAAGCAAGGAGCAGGGAATCTTCCTGCGGCTGCCCAGGGCTTTCCTCTCACAGCCCCACCAGAGCCTGCCTCAAGCCACCTCTCTGCCAGCTCCACCGCCTCCCTGGCGCCCGCCTTCTCTGGGAGCACTTCACAGTGCCTAGAGCCACAGGCCTCTGGCTGCCCGGACACGGGAGGAATCCCTGCTCCTGCTCCTGCTCCTGCTCCAGCTGCACTGCCAGGGCTGCCTGATGGGCGTCCAAGCTCGAGTGCAGTCTCTGCTGATATGTGGGCAGTCAGGCAAAAGAGCCAGGAAGCTTACGCGGACGACCGAGCAGAGCATCTCCTGGCAGAGCAGGTAACGAGCACTTGATGGGAGCAGTTAGGGAGCTAAGCTGACTCCCCTGAGAAAGACTGAGCTGGGGCTGAGCCGGGGGCACTGGCTGGAGGGAGACAGAGGTGCCTGCCAATGCAGACCCTGCTGTGGGTGTGTGAGACGGTGTCCCTGGGGTGTCTGCCAGAATATGGGCTTGAGGGCCCCATGGCAACCACCGGAGCATTGTGATGCGTACCCAAAGGCCATTGTGACACGGAGGGGTACCCACGGCAACGGTGTCCCTTATAAAGCCCGAGCCCCGGGCTGCCCACTCACTCTCAGGAGAGCAGCTCTGTCAGGAGGCAGCAGCTCCCCTGGGTGCCCGTTGGAGTTCTTGGTCAGAGGACCTGGAGCATAGCATGGAGCAGCAGAATAAGGATGACTCCCAGCCCGCTGAAGGGCAGCGGAGCGTGCAGGAGCGGCGCCAGGTGAGGCTCAGGGAGCGAGACAGGGACAGCAGCGTGATGGGATGGCACGGAGAGCACCAGGATGAGGAGAACGGTGCTGGAGCGAGCCGGCCAGCTGGCCCTGAGCCCCTCGGACCTGGACACAGTTGTTCCCAAACCTGGGGTTTCTCCATGAAGAGCCCACCCCAAGGACAGCCAAAGCCCACGTGGCCCTGGCAGTTCTGTGCCCAGAGGCACAAAGAGCAGCGTGGCCTAATTCAACCTGGCTGTGCACAGCCAGGAGCTGCCTCCACCGTCCCTCCATGCGGACAGGCTGCCAGTGCGGTCGTGCCCAGAGAGCGTGCGTCACACTGGCAACTGCCACACGGAGTCGGGAGCCCCAGGAGGGTTCGGTCGAACATCGTTGGCAGCCCTGGCAGCCTGCGATGAGCAGGCAGCACTTGCAGGAGGAGACAGGCAGGGCATTACCCTGGCAGGCTGAGCCCCGCTCTGCATGGGCAGCTGCCAGGGCGTGCCGGGGGCTGCTGCAGGGCAGCTCACAGCAGCACTTCTAGGGGGTACACTGAGCGGAATGGCAGAAATGGCCCAAGTAACTTGGCCTTTCTCCTTGCCTTCTCTTGCAGATGGAGAAGAAGCCGCAAGACATCAAGACACTGCCTCACCGTGGGGTGAGGCAGGCCGAGAGAATCCAGCTGCCAGCCCTGCCGCCTTTGCCAAGGCAGGCAGCGACTCAGGCAGCAGCACCCAAGCAAGTGCCTGCGGCACAGGCATCATCGCCTGAAAGGGCCACTTGCAAGCTGCCCCCTCTGCAAGCAGCAGCCTCTGCTTCTTCAGGGGGAGGAAGGGCAAAGTCATTGGGAACAGAGGCCCGCAGCCAGCAAGAGCTTTTGCCACCTCTTCCCTGCATCTCTGGCAACAGGGACAGGGCAGTGAGGGCAGAGAGGCGGGAACGTGGCCCACACAGCCCTGTGGACCCTGACGAGGACGTGGGCAATGAAATACGGTCCTTCGTGTCCACTGTCATAACAAAAGCTCTAGCCTGCAATGAGGGAGCCAGCAGCAAGGCAAGGCTTTCTCCCTCAGGCAGAGGTCCCGGGACCAAAGGCCCCAGAACACCACCTCTCACCACAGCAGCGGACCAAAACTGGACGAGTCGGCACTCATCCAAAAGCAGCCTTGCATCCCCTACCGAAGAAATGGAAGACGCAATAAAGGCCTTTGTCTCCACTGCAATAAGAAATGGCCTTGCCTGGAACCAGGGAGCCATGAGGGAGGCAAGGCTTCCTCCCGTGGGCAGACCTCCCACGAGCAAAGGACACAAAACACCACCTCAGCCCGCAAGTGGGCCCCAGAATTTAAAGAAGAGCTGGCACCATGCCCCACACAGCCCTGCAGACTCTTGCACAGCACTGCGGGACACAGCACACTCCCGCGTGTCTGAAGTGCTGGAGAAGACACAAAAAAACTGGGAACACGGCCAACGATCAGCAGCACTTGGGGACCTGGCACAAACGGGGTGCAAATTGAGAGCAACAAGTTCAGCCGGGGTCCAGACCGACCTGGAGAGGACGTGGACGACTTCTCTGCCAGGGCCTGATTCCCGGGTACGCGCAGGAGCAAGGGCTTCCAGCAGAGACCCTGCAGCAGCTAGCCCAGGCCAGGGTAAGAAGCAAAAACAACAGAGAGAGAAACACGTCAAACCCAGGCAGGGGACAGGAAACGAGGGGACAAGCCAAGGCAAGGGCAGGAAGGAGAGCAGTCCTGGGGGATGGGATGAAGAGGAGGAGATCGTCATCATCAACTCCTGGATCAACCCCAGGTTCGCCAGCCTCTTAACAGACCCACAGGACGTTCCCCAGGAAGAGGGCAGCGCAGCCAGCAGTGTGGACAGGGAGGCAGCAGAAGAAGCAAAACACCCAGCAAGCGCCTCTCCTGGCTCGCTGCAAACCACGGACACTGTACCATCAGCTGCTCCCCAGGAAGAAATTCCTGGGGAAGAGAGGCACAGCACGCCTCTCACTTCAACAACAGCAGCCCAGAGCAGGCCAGCAAGTCCTCCAGCAGCCCCTGCTCTGGAAGATGAGGGACACAGGAGCGTCTCCCCTGACACGTGGGGCTCCACAGTCAAAACCATCAGCCTTTCCAAGCCCCAGTGAGCACAGCACTGAGGTGATGGTTGAGAGCCAGGGACGTGCCCGACATGCCTCCAGTGCCTGTGATGAAGAGCTGGATGAAGGAGTCAAGACCGACCTTTCCACAGTCCTACGCTGTGCTGTAGCCATGAGCCAGGGAGCCGTGAGCAAGGCACCAAGTGCTCCCTCGGCCACAGGACCCAGCGTGCCTCCTCCCACAGCAGAGCCTGCAGAATCTACATCCTCAGCATCTGCCTTGGCTGGAGCACTGGGGGACCTGGCACACACGGGAAGCACAGGGAGAGCAACGAGATCAGCCGGGGTCCAGACAGACGTGGAGAGGAGGCGGACCACTGCTCTGCCAGGGCCTGATTCCCGGGTATGCGCAGGAGCAAGGGCTTCCAGCAGAGACCTTGCAGCAGCTAGCCCAGGCCAGGGTAAGAAGAAAATACAACAGAGAGAGAAACACGTCAAACCCAGGCAGGGGACAGGCAACGAGGGGACAAGCCAAGGCCGGGGCAGGAAAGAGAGCAGTCCTGGGGGATGGGATGAAGAGGAGGGGATCGTCATCCTCAACTCCTGGATCAACCCCAGGTTCGCCAGCATCTTCACAGACCCACAGGACGTTCCCCAGGAAGAGGGCAGCGCAGCCAGCAGTGTGGACAGGGAGGCTGCAGCACAAGAAGCAGAACATCCAGCATGTGCCTCTCCTGGCTCGCTGCAAACCACGGACACTGCCCCATCAGCTGCTCCCCTGGAAGAAGGTCCACGGGAAGAGAGGCACAGTACGCCTCTCACAACAGCACTGGCACAGAGCAGGCCAGCAAGTCCTCCAGCAGCCCCTGCTCTGGAAGATGAGGGACACAGAGCACCTCCCCTGACACGTGGGGCTCAACAGTCGAAGCCATCAGCCTGTGCAAGCCCCAGTGAGCACAGCGCTGCCGTGATGGTGGAGAGCCAGGGACGTGCCCGACATGCCTGCAGTGTCTCTGATGAAGAGCTGGATGAAAGAGTTGACACCATCGTGGCTGCAGTCCTACTCCACTCTGTAGCCATCATCCAGGGAGCCCCAAGCAAGGCAGCAAGTGCTCCCTGGGTCACAGTGCCCAGGGTGCCTCCTCCCACACCAGAGCCTGCAGAATGTACATCCTCGGCCTCTGCCTTGGCCGGAGGCCCTGTGGGGGAGGCCAATGAAGCCCCTCTCGCTGCAGCAGCAGCGCCACAAGAAGAAGGTGGAGAAGGGGCTTCTCCTTTGGCTGCAGAGCCTCTCCAGGAGCCCAGCAGAGATTTCCGCCCAGCAGCAGCTGACAAAGCAGGAGCAGCAGCCAGTCCCTTGGTTCCTGGGCACCAGGTAAGCACAGCACGTGCCGTGGGCACCAGGCATCCAGGGCAGCCCCAGGCAGAAGCAGTGCGTGGGATATGCATGCCGGGAGCTGCCTGCCGCTCTGCATTTCCACATGGCCCAGGCACAAGGGCTGACATCCCTTTCCTCAGCTGCCCATGCTGTTCTTCTCCCCATGCAGGTGGCCATCGAGCAGGGAGGCCAAGCGCAGTCCTCCTCCTGCACCAAAGATACGACAGCAGATGAGCCAGCAACATCCCAGACACAAGCACCATCCCAGGATCTGTTGGCCGGGCCTGTTCAGCGCAGCGAGCAGCAGCAAGCACAAGGTTGGCAGCACCACGCGCAGCGGGGCTGGCTGGTCCTGGGCCACCCCTTCCCGGGGAAAGGCCTTGGAGGGGGGGACAGGCTCGCCCAGCACCCGCTCAGGCCCTAACCTACACCTCTGTGTCCCCCACAGGCATCCATGACCTCGCACAAGCCCCGGCACGCCAGCCACGGCCCTCCCGCATCAGGAGGGCACTTCGCGCGCTGCGCAGGGCTTTCCGCTGCAGCTGCATCACAGGACAGCGAGAGTAGCCGCGCCCGGCTGTGCCAGTACCAGGAGGATGCTCGGAGCTGGCAGCTGGCCCTCAGGAAGCTTTGCAGCGCCCACGGAAGCATCACTGCGAGGCACAGGACAGCGCCCCAGGAATTCAGATGCCCCACCACATCCTGCCCCCAGCCTCAGCTCAGCTGCGGCTGCTTTCTGCTCTGAATAAAACTCAGGCAGACTTTTGCCTCCAGTGCTCCTCTCTGTGCCGTTGATCTCAGGGGAAAGAGTGGTGCAGGCCATGCCAGCCTGGCACCCGGGCCCAGTACAGAAGTACAGAATCATAGAATCTACCACTGAACCGTGTCCCTCGGCACCAGATCTGCACGGCTTACGAATGCCTCCAGGGATGGTGACTCAACTACTTCCCTGGGCAGCCTGTTCCAATGCTTCACAACCCTTTTGTTGAAGACTTTTTGCCTAAACCTAAACCTAAATCCACCTAAACCTCCCGCGGCCCCACTTTTTCCTCTTCTCCTACCGCCTGTTGCTTGGGAGATGGGACTGACCCCCACCGCACTACAACCTTCTCTGAGGTCCTTGTACACAGTGATAAGGTCTCCCCCAAGCCTCCTTTCCTCTAGGCTACATAACCCCAGCTCCCTCAGCACTCCTCACACGACTTGCTCCCTGGGCCCTTCGGCTGCTCCTTTCCCCTTCCTTGGACATGCTCCAGGAGCTCCATGTCCTTCCTGCAGTGAGGGCCCCAAAACTGAACAGGGTATTCATGGCGCGACCTCACCAGAGCTGAGTACAGGGGGAGAATCAGGTTCACAAACCACGCGATGCTTACTACTATACCATATATGTACAATTTTATTTGACCAACCTTTATTTTCCCCTCTTCCTTTTTTTTTTTTAATTATTTTTTTCTTCATCTCTCGTGACTAGAAGGCCCGTGATTTATTTATTTATTTATTTGTTTGTTACTGATTTTTGCCCTGTTTCTCCTGCTTTTCTTAGTTATCCTCCTCATTTTGCAACTGTGGGACATTCCCCTTATCTGCTTAAAATACTTCACATGGTATGCTACTGCCATGCCCGCACAATCCCTTTTGAAAATGCAAGGTTAGTGGAATTTTCCACTGCAAGAACCTGACGTGCTGTCAGCAGCCTGCAAGCTCTCCTGATGTGCTGTCAGCAGCCTGCAAGCACACAAGGGGAGGAAGTGCTGCAACAGCCGTTGCTCACCAAGCAGCTGCCCAGCAAGGAAAAGACAGTCAGTAGGACATGTGTCAGGACACTTTTCCTGCCGATGCGGCCAAATTCACCTGAGAAAGAAACAGGAAAAGTCTCTTTCTTTCTTATGTGGGACTCCGGGAAGACAGGCAAAGTTCTCCGAGAACTGAAAAGTGGGCTTCTTTACCTGGAGGAGCTCAAAGCAAAAAACAAGAGCAGCCCCACTTTAATAAGGAAGGAGGCACCCAGCCCAGGTACTAAGACACGCTGAAAAGCAAGAAAGGAGGAGCAGTATTTCTGGCACTGGAAATGCAGCGCGGGGCTTCCCCAACAAAGAAGATGGGCCCTTGTGCTTTGGCCACTGCTCATGGGAAGGTGCCAGATGGCGTCACTGCGGAGAGCCCTGGAGATGGCCTCAGTGTCTGGGAGCTTCCCAGCTCCCTCCTTTTTGCCCCCTGCAGAAGAGCTGGGCTAGGAAGAGCACAGCCAACACCCTCAGCTCAGGAAAAACCCTCCACGGGGTTCCCAACTAATAGGGAAAGCCTTGAGAACCGGCTCCGGCTACATGCTGGCTTGCCCACTCGGGC